GCACTCAATAGGTGGCGCGTCTACCTTTTGGGAAGGACTTTAGTTGTTTACACCGATAGCAAGGCCGCGACTTATATGAACACCTGTCGTTTGTTGTCCCCACGTATCACGCGTTGGGTCCTCGCCTTACAGGAATTCGACTTTTTGGTTAGATACCCGGACGCGAAAATATTATCGCAGATTCGCTCTCGCGGCATGCTTGCGTAAAGACCCCAGTACCGCGCGACAAAACCTTCCAAATCTTTCAGTTACTTCAGTTACCTGATGAATTCCGCAAAAATCTCCGAAACATTGAAAAATTGCAATTAGAGGACGTAAAATTATCCCGGATACGAGCAGACCTAGGCTCCAATGAAGCACTCGCTCTCAAGTGGTCCACAATGAAATTTTGTACTACGTGCATAGCGCAGATGAGCCTCCTCTCCTGTGTGTGCCGTCATCCCTCAAAACCGGTTTTGTTACGGCTTTCCACCAAACTCTTGGTCATTTTGGAGCCCACAAAGGTCGGCCCTCAAGCGCGAAGTTTGGTGGAGCAACATGTTTCGAGACGTGAAAAGCGTATTAAGATCGTGTGATGTTTGTCAGAGGTCGAAAGTTGCTATTTTGCCCAAGCCGGCTCAGCACCCCATAGTAGCGACGGGTAAAGGGGAAATAGTCGCCCTCGATTTATTTGGTCCTCTTCCTGTCAGTCGGGGCGGAGCGCGCTATATATTGGTGGTAGTCGACCTTTTTTCAAAATATGTGGCATTATACGCGTTAAAGACTGCTACCACGCGGTCATGTTTGAATCGATTAACTAGGGATTATTTTCCTACAGTGGGCCGCCCCAAAAGGATCCTCTCCGATAGGGGCACCCAGTTTTCTTCACCTCGTTGGATTGAGGCACTGAAATCTTACGACATAGGAGTCTCTTTCACCTCGGTCAGGCACCCTGAAGCAAATCCTTCGGAAAGGATCATGAAGGAATTGGGTCGATTGTTCAGGGCCTACTGTCACCGCCAACATAAAAAATGGGCTTTTGAAGTTAAACGTTTCGCGATTTTTCTCAACAATATTGTTCATGAATCAACAGGGTTCACTCCACATGAGATCCACTTTGGTAATACGCCAATGAAAGTATTACCAGAGCGTCTACGTTTCCCGGGGCTATTTGTAGTCGACCATCCACAGAAATCAATTCTAGCCAAGGGAAACCTACTTGGTAGGGCGGCACGTCGGGCGGCGAGGAACCCGGGCAAACCTTACTACGAATTCAAGCTAGATGATCTAGTCCTCCTTAGAGCTAACAATAAATCCTTGGCGTTAGATTCTGAGGTTAAGAAATTCTTATTATTGTTTGAGGGACCGTACCGCGTCAAGAAATCGGTCAGTTATGCTACCTTCGTACTTTGTGACCCTGATACCGGTAAGGAACGTGGCACCTTTCATGCCAGTCACCTAAAAAAATATCATTTGCCAGAAGCAGTCAATCCCCTCTAGTGCTACCACTGATGGTCTCGCCTGCTTCGGGGGGGTAGTTGTAACGGAGTGTTCAGTTGACACCCGTAGTTTTTGTAAGGTATAATGTTTTTCACAGGAATATGATGGGTAGGGATATTAGCCAATACCTTGTAACACGCCACTGGTCATAAAAGTTCAATTTATCACGATTCGAGCGACGAGTCGTTTTTGCGTTTTTTCCGGGCCATGCTTTTTTGCTTTCGAGTTTTGCGTCCAGCGGAACCATTCTGCTGCTGAAAAGTCGTCACAAGAGAAACATTTTGTTTTCAATCAAATAATTTATCCAACTGCGATAAGTAACAGCCTGGTGGTTGCTAAATCTGATTGAGAATATTATACATATTATCTTATTCGCAGAAGCGACTGGTGTTATTCTAGGTAAGCTATCAAGAGTGGGTTCTTGAATGATGTGTTTTGAACCGTTTTTTGTGTTATTCTAGCGGTTGTTTAAATAAACCTATCCATCTAGTGTACGATTCGCTATTTTCCTGCCAAACCACGAACTCCCTGAGCACGTTCCGTCTCAGTTCCAAAGACCAATTCTTGTGTATATAGTCAATCATAGTCGTAGATTGGAAATAGAAATATAGTTTAAACACCAAATTCAATGTATACACTTTTCGCAGAACAATAGTTATAACATTGGGAAGAATGCTTGTACCAACATTTTAATATGACAAAATAGACACAAATGGTTATACTTATAAATACTGTACTCGAGTGAAGAAACACGTATCTAATAATGTCAAATTGAATGGTAAGTATTCTCAATATACAAGGTGTCTGTGAAAGGTCTTTACAAAAACATACCACATATTCCCTAGACCAAAATAAGTCGATTTGAGTGAAATTACCTCAGTATAAAGTTGCACCATTTGGCTCCAGAGGGCCTCGAAGATACAATTTCTAAATCGTTTTTCCCATATAAATTTGAAACGGCATATGCGATTTTGCTGGAATTTGATATATTGATAGAGTTTCATGTGGCAAAAAAAATGGTGGTAAAATTTGATCCGATAATAATACATAGGCGTAGAACTTGATTTTTCAAATAATTGCACCTTTGAACATCCTACGCCAATGGAAGAAAGGGAGTTTGAGTACGAAATTTAGATTGCGCAACTCATTTACTTTGGAAAAGGTACTCTTGATAAGACTTGATTGCTCTCATGGTTTTTACGAAATTTGCATTTTAGTAATTTGAGAACACAAACAATAATTATTAAAATACAAACTTTGTCAAAACCATGAGAGTAAATCGAGTGTTATCAAGGGTACTTTTTTGTGGTAAATGGTACACAAACCCCTTTTCTGCCAATGGCGTGAAATTTTTAAAGGTGCAATTATTTAAAAAATCAAGTTGTACACCATCCAGTGACTCTAGTTAATTGTATGTTAGTACATGATGCAAATGTGGAAGTGTAATGGAAAAAAATAGATCTCAATAGGCCTTTATTTATGAGTCAACAAAATCATTGCTTGCTCACCAAGTTCTGACGGTGGAGTGAAGTCCTTTTTCGACAAGGGTGGCACAGCAATAATGCATACAAGGCTTTAATGTCAAATGTAGAATCTGGTGGGGGTAACCTATTGAAAATATTCAACAATCCAGAACATCATGTTATTTCATGAGTATCTCGGAAATGGCTTGGTGGCCCTGACTCAGAGAGTCGATTTGAGAATAGACTCGACAAGGGTGAAATATCTTGATCATCAATTTCCCTCACCAATACACTGGTTAGTTGGATAATCATTTTTGTCGAAATCGTATGTGCAAGTTTTAATAATATACACGAAATTTGTTCGTTAATGACCCCTCATTGATGATCTATCTGTATATTAACGAACGAATATGGCATCCCACTAAACATGAAAACATCACTTAAACATAAATGTTATATTACATTGTTACTTTGTGATGTTATTCATAGAGATGCATAATGTAACAGATACGTTGCGGGAATAGGCTTATGTGCCTCTTTTAAATATTACAATGTAATGTTGATAGTAAATATTGTATAAATATATCAGGAATCACATAAAATCGATGTTACTTTATAACGTATATTCAATGTTGCTGGATACATCTAAACAATATTGTATTTTAACATTCTAATTATTTTCTAGGAGTTTTTAGGTTATGTCTATTTTGTCTGGAATCATCAAGACAATCATCTAAATGATCTTCAAAAAAGACAGAGAAGATGATCTATCCCTGAATAAGAATTGATCTTACCGTACTCCTGAAAGACTATGAGTATGATCCAGTTACATAGTGATAATTTGAGACAGATTAACTACTATCTATCTATGTATCATTTTAGTTATTATGCTTCATGAATCCAGTCATACCAAGCTTAGCTTTATGATTTCTGCATAGTCCAGTGATCTCTTACTGACTTTCTGAAAAGTAATAGGTAAATATATCCGAGTTTTTGGAAGTTTTCTGACTTATTTTTTTTTTAATTCTCTTCTATGTTCTTCTACTAGCTATGACATTATTTTTGTAATTCGTGGAATATGAACACAATGCGTATTCACGAATCCCTCCTACTTTTTCACATATTATGAAATGCAGATACAGATTGGTTGCATTTCTATTCCAGCAGAACAAACATGGAATCTAAATAGGTATCATGAGCAGTTCATATTTTCATTCGAGTCTATTTGAGTCCTAGACTTCTTTAGTTCTTGACTTACTTTAATAACTACGAATAATATCTGAAAATCAATATTATCACTGATCACACTGTTCGACCTGTTCACCATAATAGACAACAAACAAAATGGCTGGAATGGAATTGAATTGACTTTTGACAATTGACAAGGTTACTTTGCCGTAGAAGGAAAAATATTATCCCCTTATATCCCCTATACATGTTAGCTACGTTATAAGGTGGTGAAACGAAAACATTGCACAAATAACATAACAACTCTGTCTGAGATATATCTGATGAACCTAAAATCAACATATCACAATATTATTTAATGGTATTGATATCAATATTGATGCGACGTGTCATAAACGTTTTACTTCATAATATTATGTTGGATACTTCAGAAGGACATTATGGCAATGTTCTTTCAACAATATCACAAAACTTATAACTGAAAAATATTTTTGATATGTATCATGTTTAGTGGGATAGGCAACCAAACATACACCGCGTCGTTTGACTGTTGAGATCATACATCACGGAATATGCCTTCGAATCGAAACTATGGATTTCATCGATTTCAGGTTAATATATAGGAATCCCTATTTTTCAGCACAAAGAAATAATTTTCCACGGTCAGTATCAAGTCGACTTTCATGACTATAGGTTGACATTTGTAACTACCGTTTGAAGAAGGACTTCGTACATTGCAAAAGAAATACAGTTGTCGAAAAAATATTTCAACCACTTTGTTCGCAAGTTAGAAAACCTCGATCATTATTCGTCCATATCAATAAACTATGATTGGTCGAATAATTATTGATAATTTGATATTGATTACAGATGAGAATGGCATCATCCAAGGAGAATTTGGTTTCATCACAGCTGATGGAATATATCATGTGACTGTCTACGCCACTGATGAGAATGGAAATTTCAAAATTCTCAGTATGAAGAATATAAGAATAAGTGCACGTGAGTAAATTCATGTTCACAAATAATGTTTCGTCTTCGCAAATCAATCAAATGCAATTATCAAAATCTCAATATAAGTAAATTATCTATTGCTTTTTGTCATTTATGATTTTTTCTTCTTTTCGCCCCCTTTATTATGCCCATCTAATGTGACTTTGTTCATTGCAGCACTCGATGGATCACCTGCTACTGGTCCTATATCTCCAGAAGCAAACAAATACCTCAAGAAGTCAAACAAACCTGAATCACCGATGACACAACCATCATCACAACCTCAACCACAGCAATACCAAAGACTAGAACAACAACCCAGACCACTAATAACAGTAATGGCATCTACTCCAAAATCACAAGCAGTATTCACAACTAAGCCAACAGTGAAACCAGCATGTGCAGGTTGTGGTTACGTCACAACTTCGAGAACGACTATTACACCTGATATTGGTAGTAAAAGTTTCTCCACTATTGTCGAAGGAGTTGTACCCCAATCGGATAAAGTTCCTTCACAATACTCAAGTGGTGTTTCTGTACAATATCCGAGTAGTACAACTTCACAAAACGCGAATGGAATTTCTTCACAATATCCTAATGTTGGATCTCCACTAAATTCAACTAGAGGATATCAATCGCCAATAATTTTGAACCAATCACCACCAGATGTAGAGATATTGCCCCCTAATTTTCAGCATTCCATCCATGTTCCTGATCCGAATGAGCATCTGATGCCAATCCAGGATAATAAAAAACAACAAGAGCCCGTCTATGGATATCAAAATGATCAAAATTCCTCGCTTCCAACAATCATTAGTGACAAGCATAGTGGTGACTTGCTTGTACCTGGAAACAATGGGCAGGTTTCTGGTCGTCCGACAGATCAACTGGTCAGTCTCGGCAATCAAACCAATCAGAAGGAATATGTAGATATTCTGGCTAATTTGCCTGATACAGGAATGATTCCAAATTTAGCAGGTATGTTAAATCAGAATATTGCTCACATATAATGAAGTTGTAGTACTGCTTCATCAAATTTTCATCATGATGGATAACAAGAACTATATCGCTAATTACCTACACAACAAGTGATAGGAACAAGAAGAACTTATGAAAATGTTCAAATAGTGTGATTCATCGTATTGATTGATAAGATGGTTCTACTTGCGAAATGGAAGCAACAAGTTCGAATTATTTCACAAAACTCAAATAAAACAAAGCAACATGTCTCAGAGAAAATTTTCAGAATCTGTTGTCACACAATATTTCTTCTCTTCGAAATTTGGCACACTGATCAATATATTTCATTTTCGTGTCAGATTGAACGTTAATCCAATGAACTATGAATTATTCGTTGAATGGGGAAGACCACTGAATTTTTAAAATGACATTATCGTGAACTCTATAATTAATGTAATAAATTAGAATATGTCCATTTCAAAACACACAATTCCTGCGCCATTTGAAATTTTGTCAATTCATTGGTGTGACTGGTGCGACGTCTTATTCCCAACACGCCAATTGTCCTTGAACTGACCAATCACACTGCAACACTGCAGAATGCCGAGGTATCAGAGAGAGATAGCTACAGTTCGGGACTAATACGTCACGACTCCACCATCATATTTGGCTGTTTGAAATATCGAATGAAATATGCTGATTTCAAAACGATATAGATTCGATTCCCTTCAACTTTAACTCATAATATTGATTGTACATCAAACGTGAATCATGATTCGTCGATTGAAAGAGGTTTACACGGATTTCTTCTCTCAGTGGTCTTCCCCATTATTTCATAAATATCCAGGATATTCTATAAGAGAGCACTTTCCATCTCGATAGTGATTCACTAATTACTCGTTTTCGGGTGACACGCTATTGGGAATTTGTTTGTACTAATTGAATATTTTATAACCTCACTTCAACTTCTTCGAAAAAATATTGGGAATAATAATTGGTATCAATGAAGAGATGAAAAAATCTGTTCTTATTTTCATTCAAGAATCCAGGAAAATATAAAGGAGCTTGATGCTTCAATTTTTTCGAATGTACCATCAATAAGGATATGTTGCACTTGAGATCAATGTTGCCATCTAATAAATTGTGGAACTAGTTTTCCATCGAATGATGTTTGATATTCTACAGCGGCATTGTGTGGTGCAAACCCAACTCGAATCTTGATAAAATGAACATAAACTGAAATAAAACAGCATGCTTATGCCTTCTGAATGATCGTACCAACAAACTGTGAGAACTTATTTCAAATTGATTAATGTGAACGTGAATAAGTTCATGATGAATAGCTGAATTCCACCTATGAAGTTCAGTTTGCGTAACGATTGTTGATGTTCTGATCATATTATCTCAATTCATCGATTATGATGGAAGAACTGTTCACATTTTCAGGTCGATCTGGTCAACTCAACGCGCCACCAGCATCTACAGAAACCTCTAAACTACCTCCAATAACTGTCTCAGATAACTCTATACACGTTGGTGGCACGCATCCTCAGGATATACCCATTCAAAACAAATTTCCAGGAATGGTGGATGGGCTTCCGAACGGAGTGGAAGAAAAAGATGTGACAAATATTCTTTATAGGTTCAAATACACTGTAGGTTTTCATGGACATTACGAGAAAGGACTCAAGGATGGTACCAAGATCGGAGGGTACTTCATCAATGGAAGAGATGGTTTCAGCAGGGTGGTCACATATGTGGCTGATGAGAATGGGTATAGGCCAAAGTTCAAATTGATCAACCTTGGTTTGGATTCTGTGGATACGCCTAAAGAGGATACTGAGAAGACTTTTGGGCTCAAGAGTTTCGAATTCATTTGGTACCCGATTGAATAATGTATATAAGAATTATGTAGATATATGACTGTACATGATATTGTATCATTAGATTCTATGAAATGGTTACAAGCATGTGAACAACTTGCGTCCCAACTCTCAGTGATGACGTTGCAGTGAACGCTTAGGTTCATCTGTTAACTCCTGATCATTGTTTTACAATAACTTCAGGCGAATTTTGGAACGGCATATCATTCAGAATAGTAAAAACGTTTGTTTAGATATCGTTACATACTTTGATATTCTCTTACTCACCCCATTCAACATCCAATTTCAAGAACATCCTGTAGATTGAAAATATTCTTGGAAGCTGCTGCCAAGATGATAACTACTGTATAGGTCAAGCATCGAAGCTCGTGTTGTTTTTTGGTCTTCTTATCTTCTCAGAGAAGCTGAGATGATAGGATTGAATTGATGGATAGCCTCCATGTTATTTTCATGTGGACAAATACCTTCAATTCGAAGTATTTCCAACCAAATCATCTAATGGAACTTGATCTGATTGAGACGAATATTCATGGTAGTAGTCTAAAATACCGATCTCAAGTAGCACATCAAATTAGCTGAATTCTGATTAATGTCAAATCGGGGCCGATATAAATTCATTGTAAATGTAGAAATGATGTTGGTTCAATATAGTATTGGAATGATAAAATTGGTGGAATATTGGTTCAACCTGGGTTCAATATGGGTTGTCAGCTGAAATTTTGGAGAAATATTGGTTGGAAAGTTAATTCACAATATGTGGACAATAGGAATATAAATATTATATAATATTATTGATTTTAAAATGTTAGTACAACATCGTATGAATATTGATTCCAAGAATTATAACCAATATTGCAATTTGAACATTTTCCTCATGTCGATTCTGAAGAAGTAATGCATGATTGTATATTAGAGTTAGACAGTACATTGGTTGGATATTGTTTCAACAATATTTGTAACATCTGCCACGTCTCAAAATTTACAAATATAACTTATAATTTATTATCGCATCCAGGTTATCTAAAATGCAAGATTGACCGACCACAAGACAAAAAAAAAATATAATCTCGAGTAGGTACTTACCTAGGTTGAACCCGTGGTTTCTCTCCGAAAGGGCTTTCTCAGGGTCGTATAAAAATTGTGGCGAAAATTGCCTAACTAGCTCAGCGCGAAAGGCCCAACAGTAATATTGAAGAGATTATTGGATTCACGACGAGAACAAAAAAAAATTATCAAAACAAACAATCTGATGGCCAACAAGAAATGAATGTTCAAATACTAGGTTCAAGCATTGTCAGTTAAACCGATAATTCTGATGAAATGTTAGATATATCTAGATTTTATCCCTAGGCGCCACGTAATTTAAAAAATGCTTGAACAAAAATAAATACAGATCGAAATATAGTTAGTGATTGTTGATATATTCATCAGCTGACCACAAACAATCTGAAAGATAATTCAGCCTAAATCACGAAATAACACTGAATATCGCTTATTCAGATGACCATCAGCTTTTCATGTAAGAAAAAGTTTGAATTTATATCGATCCCTCAATGTGTTAACAGGGGTGAAACAGATCAACAAAACAGTCCAGAAAAGAGTGATACTACGTGTAATTTGAGTATAGTTACAAAAAAAAATGGTATCATGGAAATACTCTAGTAATTCTTAATTAATTCTTAATTCACGAATATTTTCCATAAAATATTGAATCGACGATACGAAGTTTATAGCGCTATACCTTTCGTTCACAGGTGGTCGAATATTGAAATCCTGAAAGTATATTTATCATCGAATCTATAAATGTTTTTGAGTATCAATCAAACTGGCGGGGTAGTCATCACTTCATTTCGTTGGCAACAAGGGAAAATGGAATGGACTGACCTGTTCTGGATCGCTGTTTCGCCTAACAAAACCCAAAACGTCCTTGAGCACCTCAGGTTTTATTCCACCAAGACTTTATTGCACCAAAAGGTTTTATTTCACCAAACTGAGGTTCAAATTGGAGGAATCTTCAGCGTATATTAAAACCCTATAATTTTCAATAAGATTAGTATTTCCATTACCTATTTAAGTAATTTGAACTTCTTATAAATACCTCTGTAGAGGGTTCCAATAAAATTGCGGAATTAGCTATTGACCGCTATGTTGGTAGGACATCCATGTAGGCAGGAATCAGGATGCTCGACTAAATAATCCAGAAAAACGGTAGTTTCACACTATTCAACGGCTTCACCGCAAACACCAAATGCATCAAGTGTGAAACTTCAATCACAAAACGAATAGAATAATCCTTCCCAAGAAAGTTGATCAAAAATCACTTTTGCGTTCGTTAAGTGTTTGATCAGAAACATCTACCAGAAAACCAAAAATGTCGGAAGCGATGCCCTTTCCCCTTATTCTTCGAAGTAAATAGAGAGTACCAACAAAATATATGCAAATTTCTTCAGAATAGAATCATATTTAATAAATTCCAATTTCTCTCAAGGACATAGTTGCCACATAGAGAAGGGCAACGGGGTTGAATATGTTGAAACCTTCAGTTTTATGTGAAAATAGATAAAAAAATCAATTACAATAATTTTCTCTCGTATGAAAATTCATAATACAGCGAATAATAGTAGCCACTTTTTTATTAACGACCAAAAACCTGATCGCGCTGCTAAAGATTGGAAGCGCACGGTCATGGTGGTGCTATTCTTCATCGAACTATTTCATATCTACCAATTTATAAAAATTCCTACGGTACGGCGCGACGAATCGAAATAAATATTTATCGAGGTAATTGGACAGGTGTTCGCGTGCGAAACAATCAGAGCTCTGAAGAGTATGACGGGTTGCCTATGGATTGTATCGATCGTAGTAAATCCGATTGATTTGTCATTGAATAATTATTTAATTGCGCTATACTATTAGTGTTAATAATAAACCGTTACACATCATATTACCCTTCATCGATTGATATCGTTTCAACTGTATCATTCGGAAGATATCGAATGCATATTGTTTCAAAGATAAATATCTTTATCGGCCATTCAATATTGTCCTTTATATCGGTCAAAGAAGAGAAAAACAATATCGTATTCTCAAGTTCAATTGCATATCGGTAACATATTCTTTTGAAGATACATATCTCTCTCAAACCTGTGTCGAAAGATGGCGCTATAAGTTAATGGTAACGTACTAAGAGTGCCGGTCAGACGAGAGGATCTGAATATTGGCCCAAGACGATTGAAAACCATACTTACCTGGCGTAGGGGTTGATCGTGATCAACAAGGCGGCTACCCCAGAACGAGGCCAATATCGCCGAATGTTCACATTTTATGTTTCGCCAATATTGGTGTGAAAATATTCAACCAATATTCTCAGGAGACGAGAACATAGCAACTTTTTTTTTATCGCTTGGAGCGCACGAAAGGAAATTCCTGCAATGTTCAAAGAACATCGTGCGTTCCTAGGGAGGATAGGGACAGGGGGTAGGTATTGGAATCTTTTTTGAACTTCTGGAGAATATATGTTGTTGGGAATACTTCTTCAGGCAATGAATTCCAGAGCCTAGCCGTTCTATGGATGATAGTTTCCAATGATCCACCAATATTTTCAACTAATATTGCACTAATATTGTCGAATGTGCGCCTCTCATTTCCTGCCTTCATTGAATTCACCTTTCATCACCAAAATAACTCTTCGAGAATTCATCCAATGTTCGTGTGGAAATATCTCACCAATGTTCTGGAGTCGACATTGCAACATGCTGATTTTCAATATTCTACGCACATTTTGGAACTAATATCATACCAATATCGACGAATGTTCACATTTCGTTTGTCGCCAATCTTACTTTCACAATATTTTGGCGATATTTCCGTAATACTGCACTAATATTATTCAAATATATGTGTGCTACTTGGGGAGAGTAGGCAATTTGAAACTCCTGTAGACGTTGAAGCTTGTCGTTATCAGAAGGGCATACAGCAACCCCAAGTTGAGGTTATCGAAGCAAATGCGAATTACTTAGAAACAGGTGGTTTGCCGAATCGTTACATATAGGGCATGAGAATGGCAACATGATTTGGCAATCGTACGTCTTCGCTAGTCTCTGCTGGAATATTGAAACAAAATTGTGAGCGTTGATATCCGGGGCAACGATATTGCTATATTATTATGAATGCCATTCTTTCTCGATAGGGTAAACGTACCAATTCTCGTCAGGTCGAGAAAAACTCGAACTTTGTATCTGTATAAAATAATATCACGTTCCTGAAAAAATCGATATTCAAGGTGTCTATTCGATGATCAAAGAATAATATTTGTTTGAACATGATGCACAACTGGGATAAAGAATGAATTAATAAAAACAAACCATTTGGCCAAGTATTCGTCACCAAAAATTTGACGTGCACCAGTATTCGTCATGAGATCGTCTGAATAATAATAATAATCTTTATTTAAAGGAATGTTATGCAATAAATAAAATTTAACACAAAACATTAAATGAAAAAACGTCACAAAATGGTACATTTGACAGGACGTGTACCTAATATTAACATTATACAAAAGCATGTATTTCACATGTACAACATTCAAATAAAAAAATGTATGGAATACAGATAGAATAACATAATTATGACATTATACTATTATAGTTGTGCTGATATAAAATCATCTACAGTATACGGCTCCATTTTCATCGATAAATTAAAAATTGTTTTCTTAAAGATGTTAAGTGTTTGTATTTCTTGAACCTCGCGAGGCAGCTTCATGAAAAATCTTAAGCAGCAGTATTTTGTACTTTTTTCTGTGAGTGTTAGTCTGTGTGCTGGATAGTTATAAATTACGGATCTAGTATTATATGTATGTTGTGAAAGACAATCATTGAAAAAATGTTTATTTTTAAAGAAGGATAGTAAACACTCTTGTATAAATATTGCACTAGCTGTTAGAATTCTATTTTGTTCAAATTTTCCTCTACACGTTTCCAAAAAATCCAAATTTGATATTATTCTAACAGCTCGTTTCTGGATTGTGAATAACTTTTTG